TTTTTTTTAAAAAAAACACACAACCTTTTTTTTTTTTCCTCTCCTTTGTAATTCCAGACTTTAAAGATTTTTCCTAATTCAATATTAGCATAATAAAAAGGCTTTTTTATTGTTCTTTTTTTAAAAAAAATATCCCTGAACTGTGTAGATCAGTGGTCTCCAACCTTGGCAACTTTAAGACTTGTGGACTTCAACTCCCAGAGCTTTGCTGGCTGAGGAATTCTGGGAGTTGAAGTCCACAGGTCTTAAAGTTGCCAAGGTTGGAGACCACTAGCGTAGATCCATAGGCCCAAGCAAACTAGTTGCTCACTAAAAAAAAAAAAAAAACCCTCTCCAGGGACTCTAATTTTTTTCCAAACAAACTTTTGGGCAACCTTTTTTTTTATTTTGTATTCTATAGCACACTGATGATTTGGAGTGGTGGGATTCAATTTTTTTTACTACTGGTTCTGTGGGTGTCGCTTGGTGGGCATGGTGTGACTTGGCAGGTGTGGCTTGCTGGGCATGGCAGGGAAAGAATACTGTAAAATCTCCATTCCTTCCCCACTCCAGGGGAGTTACTGCAAAATCCCCATTTCCTCCCAATCTGCTGGGACTCAGGAGGCAGAGGGGGCGGGGCCAGTCTGAGGTGGTATTTACTGGTTCTCTGGACTCAAAATGTCCGCTACCGGTTCTCCAGAACTGGTCAGAACCTGCTGAATACGACCTCTGAGTGGATCCTATCTCTATATCTACCCTCCCTATTTTATTCCTGGCATTCTTACCCAACCTGATACACTCTGGATGTACAGGTAGAGCTCGACTTACAACAGTAAGACTTACAACAGTTCATTTAGTGACTGTTACAACGGCACTGAAAAAAGTGACCTCACACTTATGACCGTTGCAACATCCTCATGATCATGTGATTTACATTGGTAGGCTTGGCAACTGGTTCGCATTTACGACGGCTGCAGTGTCCCAGGGTCACGCCGTCCCCTTTTGCGACCTTCGGACAAGCAGAGTCAATGGGGAAGCCAGATTCTTCTTAACAACTGAGTTACTAACCCAACAACTGCAGTGATCCACTTAACAAACGGGGCACGAAAAGTCGTAAAGCGAGGCAAGTCACTTAACTCACTTCTCACTTAGCGACATACATTTTGGGTTCAATTGTGGGGACAAGTCCAGGACTGCCAGTATTATAATGAATTATAATTTCTAGGATTGAGGGTAAATGGGAGCTGCTCTGCGAAAGGCATCAGGCTGGAGATCGCTGTCTTGTGCCGATTTATTTCAGAGGTTTATTTGTGGAGCGGTTCAGGCCTCTTCTATTCAGCCGATTTCTGCTTATGCAACAGACTTCCTCTGGGGGGCACTCAACTGGCAGATGGTATCATTTCTCGGCACCCGTTTCCTATTTTATTGAATATATCTGTATCTATATTCATAAAATCAACCAGCTAGTTTTGTAGCTAAGGTGAGACTAGAATTCACTCTCCTGGTTTCTAATCTGGCGCCTGAACCACAAGTAGATAACCTCTGTAATAAAAGCTCTTCTTTTAAAATTATGGATATGAGGCTGTATCAGGACAAAGCCAAATATAAATAGAATACAGGTAATCCTCAACTTACAACAGTTCATTTAGTGACCAGTTACAACAGCACCTACAAATGTGACTTATATTACCGTTTTTCCTACTTATGACCTCTGCAGCATCTCCGTGACCATATGATCAAAATTCAGATGCTTGGCAATTGGTGTATATTTATGACCATTGCTGTGCCCCAAGGTCATGTGATCACCTTTTGCGACCTTCCGAAAAGCAAAGTCCATGGGGAAGCCAGATTCACTTAACAACTGGGTTACTAACTTATTAACCACAGGGATTCACTTAACGACTGTGGCAAGAAAGGTTGTAAAATGGGATAAAATCCACTTAACAAATGTCTTACTTAACAACAGAAATCTTGAGCTCTGTTGTGGATGTAAATTGAGGATTACCTGTATAACACAATGCAAAACAGAACAGGAGTTGACAAAACCCTCTCTCATGTGAATGGAAATATCTGGCCAAAGCCCAAAGCCTCTCACAGGGATTTATAAACTCATTACACCAAAGTTGTGCAAACAAGAGAAAAGCCTCCTTTATCGGACTTAAATTACGGAAGAAACTGCTTTTTAAAGTATTGTCCTTTCCTTTAGGCTTTTCACTGGTATTTCCTTATCAACTTTTACTCCAAAGGGCCTCGACAAGGTCTCCTCGCTCTCAACAGCTCCTTTGCAATGAAACAAACCCCAGGAACAAAACGGAAGGCAGCTATCGGATACCAACCTCATTATTTGGTGAAGTTCTTACCTCAAGTTCTTTTCTAAGCCGAGTCTCTCGCTCAGCACCAAACTGAAGTTCGCTGGCCTGTCGCCTCAAGGCTTCTGAACAGCCATTATGTTCTCTTTCTAGCTCTTCTACTTTTTTGTGGACATTCTGCACTGTGCTGGTGCTTTCCTAGTGGGAGAATAATAATTAGTTCCAACTTCAGCATTTTCCCTGAAGAGAAAGAGATACTTTACTTTAAATCGGAGAGTAGGATCAAGAGTCCTCACACAATTCAGAACCACACATCAACTGGCAATTGTCCCACTGAAAGGTCCCCATGGTTTTTGACTACCAGTAGCCCGAAACACCACTACTTAGAAGCAGGATCTGCACTATCACTATCAATAAGTTTCTAAGTAAAAATGTTTTAGTGGTGTTTTTTTCTTCTTCTGTATTCATTTACCTAGGACATTTAGAGGTTCACATGCCATTTTAACTGTTTCAACTTCAGATTCGTCACAGATTTCCATAACACAGTACTTCTGGGTAAAAGTAACAGGAGTAAAATTATTCTGTCGACATTATGGTTGTTGTTGTTGTTTTGAATTTATTCCTTTCCTTTACATTCCACCTTTTTGCCACAAGTCTCAAGCCAGTTTCTGCTTCGTTTTCCACTCACCCAATGTCTGCCACTCAGCATCAGTGCCAGTTTGCACTGAGTCCAGGGGATTACCCAGAGAAATTCCAATTTCAATGTATATTTGTATCCAGACCCCTCCACAATAAATCCTACGTGTTAACCATTGCTCCTTGCTGGTTCCCTTTATTTCCTAATTGTGTGCGGGGAACACGCACATGCAATCATCTAGGCCACTGGTGGTACGCAGCACCCTCTTTGTGGGCACCCGAACCATTGCCCAGTTTAGCTTCACCACGCATGTGCGCGCACCTCCCATCAGCCAGCTGGGAGATGAGTCTCTGCTATGCATACAGGAACGTGGGAGGGGGGCGCACCTGCATATGAGGGAAAGCGTGTGCATGCAGGGGGTGGGGTTGCACAGAGCTGCGCACATGTGCGAGGGGGCGCATGCGGGGACCGCACTTGGGCACTTGGTTCAGAAAAGGTTAGCCATCACTGATCTAGGCTGTACAGTATGATCAAATATGCTTAACATGAGAGTCCCAGGGTCCTTCAAAAAGCTATCACCACAGAGCTTTTTTATTATTACTGCAACAGATAAAAACAACAGCAATTATTATAGCGATATTTAGTTAAAACGTAACATTCCATTAATTCAAACGATTTCTGCTTCTGCCTTTGTTTCACTTTCTTTGTTGGCTGATATAGTAAGTTTTTAGAGAATCCTCCTAGCATCAAGCCTAGCCAAATATATTCCTTAGCTCAAAAGTGGGTATATACTTCTACCATCACACAGAGTGTACCCTCTTTTTCAACACTGGTAGTCCGGTGACTTACAACTACAACTGAGCCCAAAATTTCTGTTGCTGAGAAAGTTGTTAAGTGAATTTTGCCCCATTTTACGAGCTTTCTTGCTACAGTTGTTAGGTGAATCCCTGCAGTTGTTAAGTTAGTAACAGGTTGTTGAGTAAATCTGGTTTCTCCATGGATTTTGCTTGTCAGGTCACAAAAGTGATCACATGACCCAGGGACACTGCAACGGTCATAAATATTAGTCAATTGTCAAGAGTCTGAATTTTGATCTTGTGACTATGTGGATGCAGCAACCGTCGTAAGTGTGCAAAATGGGCATGGGTCACTTTTTTCTGTGCTGTTGTAACTTTGAACTGTCACTAAAATAACTGCTGTAAATCAAGGACATATTTTTCAGAGTATAAGATGCACCTTTCCCCCCCAAAAAAGAGGGTGAAAATCTGGATGCATCATACACTGAATACAGCATTTTTGGCCTACTGAAACCTCACCCCCTTTGCAAAGATGGACATGCAGAGGGTTTGGGAGGCTTGTAGAGTGCTCCTGGGGGCTGGGAAGGACAAAAACGAGCAAAAAATGGGCCATTTTTGTTCATTTTTAAACCCCCCCCAGCCCCCAAGAGCACTCTACGAGCCTCCTAAAGGTCTGCATGCCCCCTTTTTTCACAAAAAATGAGGCATGCAGAGGGTTTGGGAGGCCGCAGAGTGCAAAAACTTTTTTTTTTAATTTACCTCTTCAAAATCCTGGTGTGTCTTATACTCCGGTGCATCTTATAGTCTGAAAAATATGGTACCTGTACCGAAGAAGTGATACTTTAATAAAGTCAGCTGCAAAAGCTGAGATGTTTTGTCTTTAAGGCTTTGCTTTTAGTAAACAGCTCGTTGTTTTATTAACTGATAATGCAGCATGTTCCTCTGCCTCAATTTTGTTATGTAAGAGCATTTGTGACAAGGAGGAGAATGTAATGATGTAAAGCAAGTCCAATCCAGAAATCATTGAATAGTTCTGTGTTTTAATCACTGAGAAACATAATCCAAAAGAGCTTCACGATGAAAATTAAAAGCAAAGGTCTTGAGACTATGGATTTTCAGATCTGCAAATTCTCATTGCAATGCATTAAATCAATTTAGAAAGGGGAACATGGCAGGCTGGTTATTAGTCTGCCAGAGCACTTCACCTCCTCCCTTGCTACATCAGTCAAAACGATCTCAGTGGGGCATGTATTTACTGCCACTGTTTAACTGTCTAACTCAATGCTTTCTCTGTCATTAATTTCTAAGCTTCTTGGTCTTGTTTTAGCACAGATGCCTACAACTCCTCTGTGAGCAGAAGAAAGATATAATTAGCTTGTTTGCCTGATAAGAATTCAGCAGCAAGATCAGAGTATTTAAAGCTGCACTGAAAACTAGTAATTTTGTTCTCCCTGAAGCAACATTTGCAGTCTTAATCCCAGATTCTAGGCTCACAAAAAACGGACAATTCAAAGATGACCAAATTAGAACTAGCTCTGCAGTCTTACGGTAGAACAAGCCTTCTAATCCAATCACGGTGACAGCCTGATGTAGTAGAACAAAGCAGGTTGGTCCCTGCTGGTTGGCCTAACAGTAACATTCCTTCTAATATTTTTAGTTTTTCCAATCTCACCATCTCTATTCACTTGCTGCTCAAAACCATGTTGGATTAAACCCTTTATTTTCATCAAGCTTCAGTTTGTACTAACAATCAATGTTCCCTCTAAGCTGCGCGGTTGCCCGGCTGTGCACCTGGCAACAAAACACTGTGCAGTAGTTTCCAACTGCCGCGCAGTGGTTTTTGTGAGATGCCTTCCACGATAATAGGAGAGGAGAGCCAGCCTGGAGACAGCAATCAGTTCTAGGTCCACAAGGCAGAAAGTAGCTGAGAGAAGGGGCGTGGGGGTTGGGAGAAGGCATGGGACGGGCTCCCAGCAGCGACTACTCAGATTTGCCATTTGAGAGGGAGGGAGGGAGGGAGAGAGAGAGAGAGAGAGGGAGGGAGGGGGAGAATGCGAGTGTGTGTATCCCTCCTTCCTTCAGCCCAACACTCTCGCTGGCATTCCGGCCAGATGGGAAGGACTGCAGAGGGTCTCCTCGAGTCTAGGGTAG